CCAGTTCAGGCTGCCTCTTTTTAAGTCTCTCTCTCTGTCTCTCTCTCCCTCTCCCCCTCTCCCCCTCTCCCCCTCTCTCCCTCTCGCCCTCTCTCCCTCTCTCCCTCTCTCTCTGAGGAGCCTGGTATTTAGCTAATTAATGTTTGCAGCAACACTTTGATAGCCCTAACTGAATGACACTAATAAATGTGGAGCAGGGAATTGCTGCAGTAAGAAATGTCAAATGCGCTCATTTTCTCCCAATCAGCCCAGTACCCTAGGCCCTGCTTTTATGTGTCATTGGAACCCTGATGCTTTTAATAAGAATGTGAAGTACTGAGAGCTTCCTGCCTTCTGAAGAATGGCAAGCATTTTTACCCAGGACCACTGGAGAACTGTTCTGTTTTTCTCTTCTAAACATGGGCAGCAAAAATCCTCAAGTTATGCCATCACTTTGGGGAGCAATTTGTCAATCCCTAGTGAAGGCGAAGGGGTTCACACCCTATGACACCCACTTCTGCTTCTACATATCAGCTCTGGAGAAATGGCCACATGAGTGCAAATGACATTCACAGCAACACAGTGTTTAACAGAGAGAAACTAAAAGTGATCTCACTGTCTATCGGCAGGGAATGGACTGGCGTGGGTGGATGGGCAGTGGTGTATGAACGCTGTGGAGTTGTTAAAAGAAATTATATATCTGTGTGTGACAACATGGATAAAACTCAACACACTACAACTGGGTAGAAAAGTTGGCACAAGAATACATGAAACGTTACCATTTTAGTAAATTTTTGAAACACATAAAATTAACATATTATTCATGGATTTGCATGGATGTAGGAAAAGTATAAAAACATACATGGAAATGATGCACACCAAGTGCAGAGCGGCACTTACCCCTAGGAGAGTGGGGGAGGCAAAGGAAAGAGGTAAAGGCTGGAGCTCTAGGTTGTACTTCTTTGAGAGAGCACATGAAGAAGTATTCCTATGTCCTTCCGTTACTTGGAAGGGAAAAGGAAGATTTTGCTAGAGTCTCTAGATGTAGTCTTGAAAGGCTGATTTAATGAAAATGCTGTCTTCCTTCGATATCTCTTCTAGCGCCGGCGTGGGTAGGACTGGAACCTTTATCGCGTTGGACCGAATCCTGCAGCAGTTAGACTCCAAAGACTCTGTGGACATCTACGGAGCAGTGCACGACCTAAGGCTCCACAGGGTTCACATGGTGCAGACTGAGGTAAGAGTCAGAGGCTGAAAGACAGCCCACTCTCCGTGCCTCCTCTCAAACCCCCCAAATGCCCAGGGCTTTCATCTGAGAAGGGGAAATAACTATGGCTCATTAAGAAGAGAAAGAGCACTNATCTGAGAAGGGGAAATAACTATGACTCATTAGGAAGAGAAAGAGCACTGAGTATACAATTTTTCTAGGACTTGTCATTTTAAAACAAATCTCAGTGACCTTGAGGGTAGTCTGTACCCTTATCTTTATTGAGCTGGTTGCCAATCTTCTGCAGGTAGGTGGGTAGGAAGATAGATTATTTTAATCAGTGTATTATACATGGGAGAAAGGCCAGGCGATCTTGAAGATTATTTTCAGATATGCTGGTGGATGAGCACAAGAACTTCAGTTAATAAAGAGGAAAGAGATTCTAATCTCTTCTCTCCTCCAGCCCACCCCAGCTGTACCCCCAGCTCGAGAGACACCAAAGGAGTGCACATTGATTGCAGAGGATAAGCGCATCCATTTGTAGTCCTTTGGCATTTGCAGGGCATTTTCGAACATGTGATCTCATGAGATTTTCACAATAACAAGATAAGAGAGTTATTATTTTCCATTTTCAGGCTAGAACACTGAGATTCAGAAGCTAAAGGGCTTTAAACAGCCGTGAAATGGCCAGATTGGCCCTTGAACCTATTCTAGAGAATCCCAAGCCCTAAACAGCAAGTCCACTGCCCACAGCCTCTGGGACAGGTCTGTGTCCCCACACAGACCAAGCATGTCATTCCCTGCAGAAGTGCCTTCCAAGGGCCAAGTTCCCTTACCCTTGTGTTTCCTATGAAACTGCAAAATCCTCTATTTAATTTTTTTTAAAAATTTTTATTATTATTTTTCAATTACATTTCATATTATATTAGTTTCTGGTGTACAACATAGTGGTTAGACATTTATATAACTTACAAAGTGACCTCCCTATAAATCTAATACCCATCTGACACCATACATAGTTATTACAATATTATTGACTGTGTTCCTTATGCTATATTTTATATCCCTGTGACTATTTTGTAACTGCCTATTTGTGCTTCTTAATCCCTTCATCTTTCTCATCCAGCCTCCCTCCCCTCTGGCAGCCATCAGTTCTCTGTATCTATGAGTCTGTTTCTGTTTGGTTTGTTCATTTATTTTGTTCTTTAGATTCCGCATATAAGTGAAATCATATGGTACTTGTCTTTCTCTGACTGACTTATTTCATTAGCATAATATTCTCCAGGTCTATCCATGCTGTTGCAAACGGTAAGATTTCATTCTTTCTTACTGCCGAGCGTTGTATATATGTACCTCATCTTCTTTATCCACTCGTCTATCAGTGGATACTTAGGTTGCTTCCATATCTTGACTATTATAAATAATGCTGCAGTGAACATAGAGATGCATCAAAATCCTCTATTTAAAAAATAATTCCCGTGGTCAAGAAAGTGCAAAGTTCTATATGTTTCTGTCTCCTTCTTACGATTACAGTGCACATGGAAGCTGCTCAGGCAGCTGTGCTGCACGCCCAGGCACCCTGCAGCAAAACTCCCCCGATCTCCTTTAAACCCACTACTCCCAAAGCCACCTTGACCCCAAATTATTTTCTTGTGCAGCACATAGTAATCTCTTGCAGAACTCATACTCTGTCACACATTTGGGAAGACGCTGGTTTTGCAGTGCCCACACCAGGGATCCCCTGCCACCACCACTGGCCTGGCTGGGACGACTTTCAGCAATTAGTTTATTATGGAATTTTTAAAAAATACATAAAACTAAGGAAAACAGTATTATAAATTCCATCTACCCAAACTCAAACTTCTGCAATTACCAATATTCTGTGTTCTTTTTTCATCTACATTCCATATATACTGTTCTCATGACCTCATTAAAATATTTTAAAGAAAGTTCTACTTATCACATCATTTCATCTTTAAATACTGCGTGTGTGTGTGTGTGTATGTGCAAATTACAAATAAGGACTCTTTAAAATTATAATCACAGTATCACTAGCACACCTAACAATTTTAACCATAATTCCTTAACATCATGTAATATTCAGTGAGTGTTTAAATATCCCTAATTATCTCAAAAATGGCTTTTTATACTTGGTTTGCATTAAAATACTATGTCCACACGTTGCATTTGGTTGAGGTCTCTTTTAAATCTCTTTTAATCTCTAATAATCCTTCCTCTAATTTGTTTTCCATGCCATATATTTGTTAAAGAAACTAGTTCACTTGTTCTGTAGGTTTTCCCACATTCCAGATGTGGCTGACTGCTTCTTCCTGGTGGTAATGTATCCTGTGCTCCCCATAGTTGTTTGCCAGTGTGAGGCTCCCTTAAGTTCAGGTCCCTTTTACCACCACAGTGTTTCACAGACGGTGCTAAAAACTTCCTGTTGTATCATATCAGGAGGTACTTCTGGTCTGTGTGTGTGTCTCTCTCAGTGCTGATAACATTGACAGTGACCATCATGTTCCCCATCAGCTTTTCACTTACTGGTTGGGGCAGACCTTGAGGACCACTGTTTAGCTCTCATATTTTATTACGGGTTGCAGAATTACATCACAGTGTTTCATAATTGTTACCTTCAGCTTTCTCCACAAGACTACATGTTCCTAAGGAATAGGAAAATGTTTTCCTTCTCTCTAGCCTCAATATTTTTTTATAAAAATGTAATGTCTTTATTGTCTCATTCCTTTTTTAAAAAAATAGTTTTAATCTTTATTGTTAAAAGTATAACACACACACCCCTTTTCCTCCCATTGGCCCTCTCCACCCTGCTCCCGCCCCCATATCCTCAATATTTTTTGTCTGTTAAATGAATGAATGAATATTTTATGATTACATTGCTAAAAAGTCAGCACCAATATTTCATTATTAGTTTATTGTCACTTCCACGAACTCAAACCATACTTACTTAATTTGTAATTTTAAGAAAAGGAGATTATCACATTTGAAGTAGTCTCAAGGGATGTGTGTGTGTGTGTGTGTGTGTGTGTGTGTGTGTGTGTGTGTGTGTGTTCAGGCTCCCTGCTTGCTGTCAGAGGCTTCTTGGGCCATGTGTCGCTTCCATACACCTGCCCAGAGCCCTGGAGACAGTCTGGCAATGAGCAGGCACTCCCTATTGTAAATGTCACTGGGTGACTTCCAGGACAGCGGTAACATGAGGTGCCAAAGCTCCCCCTCCTTCTCTGTGGACATAACTCCTTCTTTCCCCGGCTCTCTCCTGCTGCCTCTCTGAGGATTTTGTGGCTCCTGTTACTCAGGTTGCCTTTCCGCTGTTTGATTTCCCTGCGGTTCTGTCCTCAAGGCACTGCTCTTTCGTCTCTGTCTTTAATCTTTGCGATGGCCCCACTCCCATGGCTTCAAGAACCACGTACACACCCATGTTTCCCAAATCTCATTCTCCTTTCCCAGCATTCACCTAATACCTGCCTGCCAGAAAGTTCCACCTGGAAGCCTTACAGTCATCGCAAACTCAAAAAACTCATTATCTGTCTTTCAAAAAACAAACAATGGTAATAACAACAAAAGCAGTGCTGGTCTCGCTCCTTTGGGTTTCAGGTTACAGTGTCTCCATCCACCTTGCATCCGTCCGAGTTCCCAGGCCGGGCGTCTGACCTCTTTGCCCACAGTTCCCGCATGCCAGCAGCCACTGAGTCCTGTCCATTCTACCGACGCCTTTCTCTCTGCTCTGGCCTTTCACCCCACTGCCGCCGCCCTTGCCCAGCCCGTTCTCAGCCGTCACTGGGCCTGTTGCAGTGGCCTCCCAGTGGGTCTCCTGTCTCCTTGACAACTCTTCACCACCACTGCCTCCAACAAAGTTCTCTAGCTAACTAACTGTGTCAACGCCTGGCACAAAAATCTTAGAAAGCTCTCCATTGCTTGTAAAATGAAGTTCAAACTCTCGTCCTTGGGTACAAGCCTCTTTGTAACCTGGCCCCAGCTTACGTCTCCATTTCCATGTCATAACACCACCTGCCCCCATGGTTGTAGGGTCATTCCCTTCCCTGGGTCAGAATCAACTTTTCTTCTTCTGTTCAGGATGAACAGAAATTTCCTGTTTCTATGCATGATAGAAATGTCCTCTCTCTTTTTTTTTCTGTAGCAAGTGAAATCCCAAACCAATTCAGATAGTATCTGTCTTGCCAAGACTCTGCTGAGGGTGGGCCGCTCCTAGTCTCAGAGCCCTGGCCCCAGCACCGCGGGGTTCACTTGGTGCTGCCAGTGAGTGCAGAGGGGTGCGATCCACAGCTGAGCTGCGGGGGGTGACTGTTTCAGCAAAGGATGAAGGATATTCTGACCCCTTGAGTTACTTTTCTGGGCCCATGGGAATAGTCAACCTCAACTTTATTCCACCTTATTTGGGATACAAAGGGATGCGGGTCTTCACAGGTTTTGATAAATATATCAAAGAGCAAGGATTTCTAAAGAAAGAGGCATTGGACAAGGGATTCACAAGTGTGCCCCTCCTTCTCTTCGCCTGCCTTGGGGCAAGCTAACTCTAGAGAGACACTCAGATGGAGCAATATCTTGTTAAAAAACAATAGGTGATAGTCGCCGTCTATCAATCTCATCTTCTCATGAGAAGGAAAAGTGGGATGTTGTGGAACTGAGGATCTCAGTGCCAATTTGGGGGATTTTCCTGGGGGTTTCCCATGACCCATGAACCCTACATTTCAGCTACACTAAACTGCTCACAGTTTCCAGGATGTATGTGCCTCTTCATGCTATTTACATCATTTGGAATGTCCTACTTCTTTGCTCAAAATCTTACAAATGTCACCTTTTCTCTCTAGCTTGGTACTTGCCACCCCCAGAAGTAAATCTGATCACTTCCTCTTCTGTGTGAAGCTTTACACACACTTCTGTCTTACGTTTATCACCTTATATGTATTTGTTCACATATCTGCCCCTCTGCTAAACTCTTACACTCATGGACCATGAAAAGGTCTTATGTATAATTCTATAAAAATTACCTAATATTACAGCTTTTGGCAAAATTGAATGGAACTGAGTCTTCACTAGTTAGCTAAACAGAGCAAAAGATGATCTTTTATGATTGAGGTTCATATATTAGACTGTCTCCTTTTCATGAATGAAGTGTGAAGAACATTAACAACTGGAAGGTTTCAGTGGTAATCATTTTCCAAGGGACATTCTATTGGGAAAAGAAGAATTCATATTTAAGACAAGGCAAATTAATGAATATTAACTGGTTTCAAAGCCCATGGTGGGTCATTGTTGAAGAATTTATTAATAAGGATTACATAGAGGTATTAGAGCTCATTCACTGCTGAACACTCAGGTCCCAAAGTAATTTAATATTTCAGTAGAATTGAAAATGTGAATCATGCTCTCAATGGGAGGAAGCAGGGAGTTGTCTGTCTATAATTTGGTGGATTGTTTTCAAAATGGCAAAAAGAGATTGCCTGTACTAATAGCCATTTTCTGGGTAGTACTCTCCTTGAATTTTCAAGATCAAGGTGGCATAAAACCCTCATAAAAAGTGAGCAAGATTTGTGAGCAGAAAGGCAGAGAATAGTTAATGCAGACCTCATTTATGATTGTTTTGTTTCTTTGAATTGTCCCAGTGATTATACCAGACCCACATTATGAAGTCCTATGAGTAGCTGACCAAGCTATTTCCAATCATAAACCAGGCCTAGTGCCAACCCATAAAAATAAATACTTGTTCACTTTTAAAGATAGTTGGTGAGGGAAGATCTTATAGTTTCACTTGGTGTCTCAGACCTATAAAATACTCTAAGGCTGACCACTTTGATCATGGGGGTCCATCTAGTTGACAGCCACACAAAGTCTTACACCTTTTAGTGGTATAATGGTAGAAGACATTAGCTGTAGAGGAGACCTTTGCCTTCTTGTTTGATGGATGGGGAACCCGAGACCCGAGAAGCCTCATGATTCAGCCTAGGCCAGCAGGTTGCAGACTAAGAGCCCAGCATCCCTCACCTGGTGTTGTGCTCTCCTCCCAACTTCCTCTCTCTCTAGAGCAGTCGCTATGTCATTAAGGGAGCCCAAGGCCAAGCCCTAAGTTTACACGGACATACATTCCCTTATTTGACAGCTCAGTTGGTGGTAAGGTTGACAAAATAATCAAATGAAGTAATCTATGTAAAATGCATAGCATGGTGTTGGGCACTCATTCGTCTATTTAATAAATCTCTGCGGAGGACATACTATGTGCCGGACATAGTAGCAGGCCCTCATGGACCGTCCTCTATAAACATGTATTGTATGCACGTGAGAAGGGATGGATAAACACCGCCTTTCCCTGTTACCATCATTCTCACCTCAGTGGTAATAGAAAGCAGTCACTCTTCTATGTGCTAAACACCATTAGTGAAGTGATGATCGAGAAAGTCGCTAAGCATGGAGGATCTCATTACTGTTCGTGTTTTGTAAGACTCATCTTTTTTGTGCCTGAGAACTTGCCTTCCTCTGATGTGTTTTCTGCTGCTTCACAGTGTCAGTATGTATACCTCCATCAGTGTGTAAGAGATGTCCTCAGAGCAAGGAAGCTACGCAGTGAACAAGAAAACCCCTTGTTTCCGATCTACGAAAATGTGAATCCAGAGTATCACAGAGGTAGGAGTTTACTTCACTAACTTATTGCGTTTATTTATCAAGATATGGTTGATCTGGAAACCATCAAAGACCTAAAGCTCTCCCAACATCACCATCTATTTCTTCCTTCACCCAAAGGCTTGAGGGAGAGGCCCTCACAGGAGGGCCCGGGGAGGCAGGCAGAGTGGGGAGGGGGCTCCTGGCTGATTTCACACATGCTCCCTTCCCACCTGGCCGGGGGCGCCCTCTATTAAAGACTCTGCTTAACATTTCTAAGCCCTAAGACTCACGGCTAGGGAGGATGCTTTGAAATCGCAACTGGGAGTTCAAATTATAAAATTCTTTTGGAGAAAAACTTGTCCATATGTATCAAGGACCTTAATACATTCTTGTCACCCAGTATTTCTACTACCACCCTAAGTATTGAAGAACTTTATGCACGAAGCTTTCTCATAGTTAAAAGTTTGAGTGAAAAAAACCTAAATTTTTAACTGAAAAGGTCTAAGTACACCATGGCACTTTCACGGAATAGAATACAATGCAGTCATTTAAAATGATATTTTTGAGGATATTATAATAACATGAATATTTTTATAAGTAAGAAAAGTAGAATGAAAAACAGATAAAAACAACACATGGGGGAGGGGGAAGACTGGAAAGAAATATACCACAATAGTAAAGCAAATTTCCCTGAGCAATAAAATAATATATGGTTTTCTTCCATGGTATGTGTTTTTTTAATTTTTAAAATTTTCTAGAACAAGCATGCAACATTTTTTAAATAAAAAATCCAGTGGGAAAAATATACAAACTTTATAAGGCACTGCTTTGACCTGACAATCATTGCTTGACAAATGAACAATCTGCATGCCTCTTCCCACTCCAGACCATCATTAAAACTTAATTCAACACACAGGCTTATTGAAAATTTGACGTTACATTATATTAGTTATTGCCACCTCGAACATTACTGCAAACATTTATTATCTCAGTTTCTTTAAATCAGGAACTTGGGAGGGGCTTAGCAAGGTGGTTCTGGCCCAGGGTTTCTCAAGAGGTTGCAGTCAAGACAAAGGCCAGGTCTACGAGCACCTGAAGGCCAGCTGGGGCTGGAGGCCCACTGCAGGACGGCCCACTCACAGGGCTGTTGGCAGGATCACTGGTCCTTGCCACACGGCTGATAGCCAGCTATACATCATACAGTTTTTTTTTACAAACATTATTTCAGAACTATTTTATCTCCATTTCTAAATGATCTTTATTTCTATTTAGTTCTCTGCACCCTCTATATCCACCCACCCAGCCAGTATGTGAAATCCTTGATAAACTATAAAGCACAAATACATGAGAGAGCTGCTATTTAAAGGAGTCCTTTGTAAACCAGATAATCCTTTTGTATTGTAAATAATTACCCCCTAATTTATCTGTATAGTAAATTATGGTTTTTGCAAATCAGATTCTTTTAGAAACTCCAAGAACGAAGGAGCTCTGGGGATCTCCGAAGTCCCTTTGTCTTGCTTTGATTTGTGTGACAGTTGGGTTTTTTTAAGAGTAACCCTGGGTGCTCCTGAAGGAAGCTAACCATGGTATAGTTAACTTCAGGCGTCTGAAAGTTAGGATTCAGGTCCTAGCTCTAGAACAAATAGCACTAACAAGCTGTGTAACCCTGAGTCTCTGGGCCTGTGGGCTCATCTGTGAAACCGCAGGGCTTGGGCCAGAATCACTAGTACTTTCCAGTTCTAGATGGTTCTGAATGGAATGACCAGGTCCCCACAAGGATAGTCTTACCTTAAACTATATTAAGTTTTAGTCACTTTCCTTAGTCTTTCCCATTAGTAATTTTCATAAACAGAACAAACAACTATGACACGCCCTGCTACAGCCTCTAATTACAGTGTCCTTCCTTTCAGATGCGGGATATTCAAGGCATTGAAGATGCACCCAAAGCTATCCTGGATAAAAGCTATTCACTGTGTGATATTTTTTTTTTAAACTCTCTTCATGCCCTACAGAGGTGCCAGCTATTTCTATTGATACTATGTATAATTTATTAATCTGGAGAATTTTAAAGAATTTATGTAATTTAAAAGTAACAGATATTATTGTACATAGTTGTATTTTGTAGTTTCTTCTGTAAATATGTATTTTTTCATAATGTTTAATATTGAGCTTTATATAATACTATTTTCCACACTAAAGTGTTCATGGGTTGTTCTACATAAACCGATTCAACCTGTATGACGGGACTGCTGTAAATGGGTGTGGAGGTGGGTGCAGAGGTGATCCCGTGGGCCAGTTTTTGCCAGTTTTGATATTTACTGAACAGGATAGACAGGGCTGGGGAGAGCATGCGGTGTGCTGGCTTTGCTGCATTGCTATCCTATGAATCTTGAGATCCAAAGATGATCCAAATGACGTTTTGACAAATGTGACAGTCAAAAAAAGGACTGGGAGGAGGGGTAAGGGTTAAGTAGCACCGAAGCTGAAGGAGGCGGTCGTGCCTAAAGTAGTTACTCTTGCCCCTTTCTCCTGCCAGGGGTTCAAGCCAGAGTAGTGAGCTCAGGGGCTGCAGGGCAAGTCCAGGCGGCAGGGCGGAGGGCTGTGGTAGAGAAGGGTAGAGAAGGGTGTAGACAGAAGTGATGAATTCCTTGTATCGAGAAGAATGCCACCTGGATCCCTGCCTGGAATCATAATTAACCAGCAGAGCACAGTCCATAGTGATAGGAGATTGTTCACTGCACCACAGTGGAGTGTGGACACACGTGCCCCTCCCATCATGGATGTTGGGTCAATGTGCACGCTCATCTTTGTCTCATTTCCAGGGGGCTGCATTCCTGGAAAAGTCAAAATTATGCCAGTCATACTTTGTTTTCCCACCAGAAAAAGATTGTAGTGGCAGATTATACTCCTGGTCAAAGGACCTAAAATCAACATTTTTATAGACATGTTCACAAACATCACATACAGTTAATTAAAAATAAATTAATTAATTAAATAAAAGCTCAGTGGTGCTTAGTATAAAATTTTCCAAAAGACTCTTCTGGTAAATCATTGAGGTCAAAATATTAAGTCGTCACCTTAAGTTGAATTTAATATAAAAGACACTATTGAGTTTATCTTCAGTATTTGTGCCTGTTTTGACTATAATAGATTTCCGTGAGTCAGAAAGCAGGCATGGCTCTCATCGAGGTCCAGTCCCGGGTCCTCCTGCGGAGAATTTGAAAGGCACCTGTGTGGCATCCCCAGGGCTGCCTGAGAAACAAGCCCAGAATGTTGGCTTGTTCCTCACTACAGATTTCTCTGTAATAACCTGAAGAATTAGACATCAAGTTTGTTGACCTCACAGCTTCATTTGCAAAGAGAACAAGGTATCTATTTTTGTTACATACCATAAAGTTCCTTAAGTACTATCATGGACATAATTGGCATAGAAATTGAAAATCATTAAATATGCCCAAAATAGTTATTTATAGTTATGTAAAGCCACACCCCAAACCGAAAAGTTTCCAGGGTTCTTTGAGATGTACAAAAACAGGGACGAACTTTGTAAGAGTGAATATGAAGAGTACTAGGAGGATTCCAAGTTTCCACGGTTTCACCGCACTCAGGCCCCTTCGTGAGTGACAGTGTGGGGCTTCAGTTCTGTCTCAGGGAATGAGGTGGGTCTTCTAAAATCAAAAAGGAACAACATCTATGTAAGTGTGGCGGACGTACCAACAGGGAGGAAATAGAAGCCAGAGATTTATGAGATGTGGTGCCTGTTAGGAATAACTTTCCCTGCATTGCAAGGTAAAAGCAAGAGAAAAACATTAGCATTTTAGACTAATGTTGCTCAGCACAGAGCACGTGGAGACAGGGAAAGACAAATTCATTTTGGCTTTTCATTCATTCAGCGAGAGAACCCAGCCAGTGCAGGGCAGCGGGCAGCCTTCCCCAGGCCACACCACAGGCCAGTGCCCGATGCCGCGTCCATAGCAAACACTGGATCTGGAAAAGAGAGCAATTGACTGCACAAACCAAAAACTGAAACCATAAAAGCCTGCACCTCTGTAGCAGCAATTACCCTTCACATACCTTGGTGTGCCTGGGATGGAATCAGAGTTGTGGAAGTGGACATGACAAGAGAAAACTGTATGTTCTTTTGGTCTAATCCAGGAACTATTTATTCTTACCCTCCACCTATCTAATTTTAAATCTCCTTAGCAACAATTATTTCACTAACTTCCTTCCAGCCGCCACCAAAGACTAAATACGTAATCTAGTTGATCCATTTATTAAATTTAGGAGGAGAAAAAAAAAGGTTCCCTTGACATGCACTCAGTTGGCTGCATTTTAATTTAACCCCGCCATGTGCCAGGCCTCGGTGGGCGCCCCCTCTCCGCCCCTGCGGCGCGCCGGGCTCACCCATCTTCGGAGCGCTTCTGAGTTATCCCGTCTTTGGAGAGGCCTGCCTTGCATCTTCATAATTATTTATGCAAGTTCTTTATAATTAACTCCTTTAATTTCTACTCGTTAAGTCAATTTTGTATTATTCTGTTCTCTGGATAGCAGCCAATTTTTTAGCTCTTGAATCAGATTTTTCAGATTCATCTTGTCTGGCCCCACACATTTGTCCTGAGTCGTTTACCACCCCTGAACCATTATGAGGTTCTAGTTTTTACTACTTGTCCCCTTTAGAATATCTTTGCTTCCCCAGATTTTCTTTTCTGTTCATTTTCTCTCCTTATACTCATTAGCATTTTGTAGTTTTTTTCAGGCTCCATCTCTTACAAGAGACGACCATAACTTCACTTTTAAATACTAAAATGGCCACAGCACCCAGACATTTTAGGGACAGTTTTATTTGGGAAGGTCTTTAATTAATTTTATTACGTCTTGGAAGAAAAGCCAAAATGTTACGTGAAAATAATGTAAAACTACTAAGCAGTTGTCCAGCAACACAGAAATAGACCTCACGTGTCATACTTCACAGTTTGATTCTCTAGCCTTAGTGTCTCAGGAAGCAGTTTCTTATGTTAAACATTCTTCTCACCTTTTGCAAGAAAATCACCGGCCACACGCTAAGTTTGCGCTCACTTGGCTGTGGGCCGGTCGGCCCTCCGCAGGCGGCTGTGAGCAAGCCCGCACCCCTGCCTCATTGTGACGAGCAAGTGGAAAAGGCTCACATCAGCCCAAATGCCCTAAGTTCCTGAGTATTTTAAACCCAAGATTTCAACTCACGTCAGGTATCCAAAGAATGTTTCACATCAGCGGAAAATCTGTAAACAATGACTGCCGAAAGCAAGTGAAAGGATGCAGGAAAGGGAAATATTAGGAAAGGAGACCTAACCAGGTATGATCAGGAAGAGGAAAGGGCAGCCCTTCTGTGTGTCCAGACTGTTCTTTAAAAATGTCCTGTTTCTGTCAGCACCTATTATCCTTTGGGGAATTAATTCACTTCAATTACATTGGCCAGCTGATTTAGCGCAGTGATTTTCAACCTTTTTCATCACATGGCACACATAAACTAATTACTAAAATTCTGTGGCACACTGAAATATATATTTTTGCCAGTCTGAAAAAAAAAATAGGTATAATTTTGATTCATTCATGGTGGACGGCTATTGCTGTGTTGGCTGTTGTTTTTTTTTTTTTTTTTAATTTGACAATTTAAGGGATAAAATAATCAGGTATTGCATGTTTTAAAAATTCTTGTGGCACATCAGTGTGCCTCGGCACATGGGTTGAAAATCACTGATTTAGCCGATTGAATTCATTCCTTTGGTTTTGTAAATTGACCAGGTGCTTGACTAAATTGACTGATTTTGGAATTCTGAACACACTACTTTAGATTATTGTAGCAGATGAGGCCTTTGAAAATGTTTGGCCATTTTAGTTAAAATGCAGGGTATCATTTGATGCAGCCGTGATAATAGCAAAAATCTGTTCTGTTCTAAAAATGTTTCTAGCCATGGAAATATTTCTTACTAAAAGAATACTCTTTGCTTGTAGGGAGGCTCCCTAGAAATAAATATATGCAATAATAAGGCATTTGGGGTTTTTTTAAAGGCTATCTATATAGATCCATTCATAAAATAAGGAAATTGTTGGTGAATGCTCCTAAAATAGAGGTTTATGGAATAGGACTAAATCTATTAACATATTCCAAAGATTATTTTTATAACCTATATGCCAATGTACATGACACTTTATTAGATCCCAAACTAAGTTGTTCAAAACTGTGAATCATGTCCAACAGATGTAATATGGTCTTTCTAGAATATTCACAAGAAAGGTTAATGATGGCTGTTTTCTGCCTTAAGTAATTTCTTTTAAGAAATACTATTTTTACCCTAAGAGTTAGCTTTCTGTTATGTTTGAGATGTTGTATTTTAATAGCTGAGTAAATAGATAAGCATCCCAACAAAAAGTAACATGTGCAATTGTGGCTTCAGGAGTTTGTGGTAGAGCTGGACAATTTTCCTTCTGCAAGCCAGTGGGAGAGCCTACAGTGGCCTTTGTGAAATTTCCTAGTCTCAGCTACACTGACAACCAGGTGCACCAGTGTTCGTATCTGAAGAGTTCTTGATCTCTGCTCCTCCAGCAGGACTCCTCGGGCTTAGAAATTCTACAAGGACAAAGTCTCCTCCCACCTTGTAGAAATTAGTGAACAGCCCATAGATGTTCATCACACACTTTTTGAGTGGAAGTTGCTCCTGGCCCAATGTTTTGGATGTTAGTCAGTGTCTAACAACACTATTGTCCATGGAGGTTCGCCTGACTATTCCTTGATTTGTGTGAAGCTTAAATAAATAATGTAAATAAATCCAGCAACCGAACTTGTTATGTTCTATAATAAAGCACTTTTATGTCTTTAATATGTATTCTTTCTCTGCAAACCTGGTTATTTAAAATGGCAGTAGATGATTCTATTTTTTCACACTATAGTACCACCCCCACAGTGTTGTGTTTCTAACCAACTCCCTTTGAACAAAGAACTTCATTAGTCTTTCTATTTAAATTGTGTATTTGCTTAATATATTTTCATATTTGTTACTGTGGTCAAAAATTCTATATGGTATCTTACGCACCTTCTCAGTAGTACAGGAATAAAACTGCTGTTTATTCAAGGAAAGTGTCCTGTCTTCTATTCACCTGGTTCTCACTTATCAATCTCTGTCATCCTTCTGCTCAGAAGAAAGGTCAGAAGGGACTGCTCTTAAATGAGAAAATTTTTCTAAGCTATTATCAGAAAGAAC